CTCTCAGCAACAGCTACTGTGATTGTCAAACTTGTGGAGCCCAAAGAGGCTTTTGCAGCTTCTGATGTGAAAAGTTCAGCAAAAGCAGATGAGGATAATAATGTGACTTTTTACCTGATGATAACTTTGGGCTCAGTTTCAGCACTTTTTCTCATCAGTATCATCGTGTTGGTTGCAATGCAGTGCTCGAAATCAACTGACTATACATCCAAGTATTTGCAAGATACCAATTATGATGGAACACTGTGCCACAGCATCCAGTACAGATCTGGAGACAAACGGTACATGTTAGTTGGACCCAGAATGAGTATAGGATCTACTATAGTCCCGGGCAGCCATGCGAATACACTAGTGCTCCCTGACAGGAGGAGAACATCTGAACAGGTAAGATTATTTTAACAGCTGATTATGGCATGTGTGTTTTCTGGAGGATGAAGGGTAAAGCAAGTTTTGAGTAAAGATGTGAATTCATTAGACATTATAATTCTTACTGAATGAAGCCGTCAACTTTCACTGTCCTTGGTGCTGATTTTCTTCACATGTACGATTGTTTGTATGGACATCACAAGTACTGTGCTTTTCATAAACAACCACTCAGTTTATATTTTTTGACATTCCCATCACATTTAATAGATTTAGTTTGGAAAGGTTATATAATCACTCTGCATTTATTAAGATTTTTCGACTTGTACATTAAATCAGCTTATACGATTTTTGGTTGTGGTGCTTTTGGTATGGGGCTTGTATCTATATCTTATGAGTTGCTCAATACATTGCCTGCAGTGATCCTCAGTGTTGAACGTGTGTTAAACTCCAATGCTTTCATTGTTTTTCTTGAGATGAAGACAGGGAGAGTTTGCAATGTGCCCAATCCTTTCCTCCCGGTCAAAAGCCAATTTAGATGTGTTTTGATCTCTTGACATGGGTATATATTGCCTTTGTACGTTGTAAGAGTTTTTTTACATTGTTAAAAGACTACGTAAATATGTATAAATAACTATTTCAACGCTTGGTGTCAGTGTAGTTCAGTGATTCTGTGCGTTTGGCAGCACTTTACGTCACGAGCTTTATTTGAACCAAGCCCTTGCATTTGTCTAAAACAGCATACTCGAGCGTACCATTGCGATTGGCAGGAACGAATGTGTTTTATTTTCAGCAGTTTTTGTAAAAACAGAAGTGGGTCGTCTTTCATGTCCGTGACGCACTAAGTCTATGTAAAAATACGACATATTTCAATGGACTATTCTTTATCATCTTTAAGTCATGGAACAAAGAGGAGGATGCAAAGCCTGGAGGGAACGACGGTGTTGGTTTGCCTTCATGGTTGTGTTGGATGTTTTATGGAGCGGAGCTTTTGCACAGATCAGATATTCAATATCCGAGGAGGTTGAAGATGGAACCGTCGTTGGGAATATAGCTAAGGATTTGGGTCTAGATAAGAGTGCACTCAAAGACAGAGGATATCGCATTGTAACAGGCTCAACTGAACCCCTTTTTCATGTGAATCAAAACGATGGTATCCTGTACGTGAAAAGAAGAATAGACAGGGAGGAGGTGTGCGAACGGACCAGCCCATGTTTGATCCAACTGAAAACCGTACTAGAAAATCCTTTGGAGATTCACTATGTGACAGTGGAAATACTTGATATGAATGATCACTCGCCAGTTTTTCCTGAGAAAGAGAAAAGGCTTGAAATTTCCGAGTCGGCTCTAGCAGGAGCGAGATTTCAGCTACAAGCTGCGCGCGACTCTGATGTAGGCCAGTTCTCAATTCAGCAATATAAACTCAGCCATAATGACTATTTTAGAGTGGAAGTCAAGGATAGAGGTGAAGATCGTAAAGTGCCATTTTTAGTTCTGCAGAAGCAGCTGGATAGAGAAACGACTGGGAAACATAAGCTACGTCTCACAGCCGTTGATGGAGGAAAACCGGCGAAGTCTGGCAATATAGAAATAATTGTGGATATACTTGATGTTAATGACAACTCGCCCGTGTTCAATAAAGAACAGTATTCTGCCACACTAAAAGAAAACGTTCCCGTTGGCACTGTGGTGATTCAGGTAAATGCAACTGATTTGGACCAGGGTGCAAATGGCGAAATAATTTATTCATTTGGAAACGAAGTTGATTCAAAATTAATGGATCTCTTTAGTATAGACCAAAACACTGGTGAAATCCAAGTAACGGGTCCGATAGATTTCGAGAAAAGTAGGATTTATGAAATTGACATTCAGGCCTCCGATAAAGGAGCAGCTCCTCTAACAACTGACAAAAGTGTTCTGATAACTGTTATTGATGTTAATGATAATGCTCCTGAGATAGAAGTGACGTCATTTTCTAGCTCTATCAAGGAAGATTCAAAAATAGGCACTACAGTGGCCCTCATTAGCGTCAGTGATTTGGACTCTGGAATCAACGGTAAAGTCATTTGCACAATCAACGAAGATGTCCCTTTTACTTTATCTCCATCGTTACAAGAAAATATGTACGCTGTTGTAACTAGGTCAGAGTTGGACAGAGAAATTATTTCTCAGTATGATGTCACAATTGTTGCGAAAGACGCAGGTGACCCTTTATTTATAAGTGAAAAGACTATAAAAGTCGTTATATCAGATGTAAATGACAACAGTCCGGAATTTTCATCAAGTCCTTATACATTTTATATCACTGAGAACAACAAACCCGGAGCCTCGGTATTTTCAGTAAAAGCCTCTGATCGTGATGAAAGTGATAATGCTCTCATTTCATACCATATTTTAAGAGATGGACGCGGGAATAAACTGTCTTCTTTTTTAAACATAAACTCTGAAAATGGAGACATTTTAGCGCTAAAAAGTTTTGACTTTGAAACATTAAAAACTTTCCACTTCCACGTTGTTGCGTCAGATTCTGGAACTCCGTCACTAAGCAGCAACGTCACAGTGAACGTGTTCATTCTCGATCAGAACGACAACGCTCCAGTCATCCTGTATCCAGTCAGCTCTAACGGTTCTGCTGAAGGTGTGGAAGAGATTCCCCGCAATGTGAACGCAGGACACTTGGTGACTAAAGTCAGAGCCTATGACGCTGATATAGGATATAACGGCTGGTTACTGTTTTCACTGCAGGAAGTTACTGACCACAGTCTCTTTGGTTTGGACCGCTATACAGGACAGATCAGAACACTTCGCTCATTCACAGAGACAGACGAGGCTGAGCATAAACCGGTCATACTGGTCAAAGACAATGGCAACGTTTCACTCTCAGCAACAGCTACTGTGATTGTCAAACTTGTGGAGCCCAAAGAGGCTTTTGCAGCTTCTGATGTGAAAAGTTCAGCAAAAGCAGATGAGGAAAGTAATGTGACTTTTTACCTGATGATAACTTTGGGCTCAGTTTCAGCACTTTTTCTCGTCAGTATCATTGTGCTGATTGCAATGCAGTGCTCAAAATCCACAGACTATACTTCTAAATATCTACAAGAGACTAATTATGACGGGACACTGTGTCACAGCATCCAGTACAGATCTGGAGACAAACGCTACATGTTAGTTGGACCCAGAATGAGTATAGGATCTACTATAGTCCCGGGCAGCCATGCGAATACACTCGTGCTCCCTGACAGGAGGAGAACATCTGAAGAGGTAAGATTTAAACAAGAGTTTGTTTGTGTAAGAATGTACTTGCAGATATTGAGCACTATATGTTTCAAGTAAATATGGGATTTTGTAAACACCTGAGGCAAACTTTCTTATTTTGAAATCATAGTGGTCCTGGAGTAACACTAATACCTGCCAGTATTAGTTGTAAACGAAACACATTTATAGCAGATGGGTTTAAGTTTCATGAAAACTGTGTCATGTTTGCTGACATTTTGGTTTTCTTATGCTGTCTCTTATGGGGCTGTGGTATGGTTTTCTGAAATATGGTATTAAATCTGTTGGTTATTCTTTGGTTTTACATTGCTGGTGTGATCATTTGTCCTTTTAAGGACACATTGCCTTTTATACTATAGGTTACGTTGGGCTTGGTGAAACATTAACAGTGAACGTCCTTTCATGAGGAAATAATTAGTATCCCCAGTCTCTTACAGCTTTGTGGTGTTTTTGTTTCCATTCATAGTCTTTCTTCTGATTTTCATATGTTATATTTACACAGGTAGCATAAAAGTGTAGATGTTACCATGTAGCCTCAATTCAGTTACTGTTAATTGTACATTAAGATAAGAAGAGTCATGTTTCCAGCAAAAGACAACTGACTGCCTTCAGATACAGTAACATGGTGACTCAGCAGTGTAACGATTCCTACACAATATCAATCCACTGATGGTAGATAATGTAGTATATGGAGTTCATGGTGCATTATTAAACAATAAACTTGAAAGAGACCCAAAGTTGTCAAAATGCAGCTACATTCAGCTTCAATCATCTGTAATGGCTGGGCATGGTGCTTAAAGTGCTTGGTCTCATTTTCCAATATTTCTTCATAAAATGTAACAAACGTGAAACCACAACGTAACAAATCTCTGATTTAATTTCCAAAACACGATCATGTGAAATACGTAATATTTGTAAATGTTATAGAAATTTGAACCACTTTTACCGGCCATGATTCTATAAAACTTAACAAATGATTTTATTTTGCGTGTGCGTAGTCACTGACAAGGAGAACGCCTCCTAATCTCTTTCCAATAACTGCACTGTTTGGTCAAAGAGCGTGGTCAGCTACAAAATAGTTTACCATTCATCCAAAGTGCTACAAACGCTATGAGGTTTTTCTGCAGTGGGGGGGTTTTGTCGCATGGTGTCAGTGTAATGTCAAAAGTCAGGAGTACACGAGCTTGTAGTCATTGCATTTTGGTTCCACCTCTTCACAACAGTCTGGCTTTGACATTAGCTTTTTCTGTACGTATTGTTTGCCACCATTTCTCCCTGTGTATGAGGAGGATGGATATGTATTTATTGAAAGCGCTTGGTTCTCTTTTTAATGCGTAATTGTTGATGTTGTGACGGCTTATTGATGATTTCGGCTTTAACCATGGAACAAAGAAGACGCAAGACAGGAAGGGAGCGCGGATATTTGGCCGGCTGCGTGGTTGCTGTGTTTTTGTGGAGTGTGGCCTCGGCGCAAATACGATATTCAGTCTCTGAGGAGGTTAACGGAGGAACTGCGGTTGGAAATATAGCAAAGGATCTGGGATTAGATAAAAGCACACTGAAAGACAGGAAGTATCGGATTGTTTCCAGTAATGCCGATCCTCTTTTCCATGTTAATCAGAACGATGGCATCCTGTATGTGAGCCGAAAGATTGACAGAGAAGAGGTGTGCGCGCAGAGCAGTACGTGTGTAATAAATCTAAAAACCGTGCTAGAAAATCCACTGGAGGTGCACTATGTGGGAGTGGAAGTGCTGGATATAAATGATCATTCTCCCAGTTTCCCAGAGAAAGCTAAAAGGTTAGAGATTTCAGAGTCCGTGTTACCCGGAGCACGATTTCAACTAAAAGCTTCAAGGGATCCAGATAGTGGTCGTTTTTCTGTGCAACAATATAAACTCAGCAGCAACGATCACTTTCGTTTGGAAGTTAAGGATAAAGGAGACGATGGTAAAATACCAATATTAGTAATTCAAAAATCTTTGGACAGGGAAACTGCAGCAAGCCACTCTTTAGTGCTGACCGCAGTGGATGGGGGGAAACCTCCAAAATCTGGCAACATGGATATTCTAGTAAATGTTTTGGATATCAATGATAACGCTCCTCTTTTCACTAAAGATGTTTATTCTGTGATGCTCAATGAAAACGCACCAGTAGGCACAACCGTCATACAAGTGAATGCAACTGATTTAGATGAAGGACAAAACGGAGATGTAGTTTACTCTTTTAGCAATAGCATGAATCAAAACATATTAAACCTATTTGATATCAATCTATCAACAGGTGAGATAACTGTTAAAGGTTTAATCAACTATGAGGAAAAGGACAAATATGAAATTGAAATTGAAGCATCAGATAAAGGTCTAGCTCCTCTAACAACAGAAAAAAGTGTAATTATCAAAATAGTTGACGTGAATGACAATGCACCTGAGATTGAAGTCACCTCATTTTCCAGCTCCATCCCTGAAGACTCCAGACCTGGAACTACAGTTGCCCTTATCAGTGTCAATGACTTGGACTCTGGTCTTAATGGAAAAGTTATTTGCTCCATAGGTGCGGATGTTCCTTTCGCTTTATCACCATCTTTACAAGACAAAATGTATTCACTAGTGACCAAGTCTCCTCTTGACAGAGAGAAACAGTCACAATATGACCTGACAATTACTGCAAAAGATGCTGGTCACCCTCCACTATCCTCTGAAAAGACAATAAGGGTTGTGGTGTCAGATGTGAATGACAACAGTCCAGAGTTTTCACTCAGCCCCTATACTTTCTATGTCACTGAAGCTAATGAGCCCGGTGCAACTTTGTTTTCAGTGAAAGCATATGATGGTGATGAGAATGACAATGCACATATTTCATATCATATTCTCAGAGATGGAAGCGAAGACAATAAACTGACGTCATTTCTCAATATAAACTCTGAAAATGGATACATTATGGCACTAAAAAGTTTTGACTTTGAAACACTGAAAACTTTCCAGTTCAAAGTTGTTGCGTCAGATTCTGGAACTCCGTCACTAAGCAGCAACGTCACTGTGAACGTGTTCATTCTGGATCAGAACGACAACGCTCCAGTCATCCTGTATCCAGTCAGCTCTAATGGTTCTGCTGAAGGTGTGGAGGAGATTCCCCGCAACGTGAACGCAGGACACTTGGTGACTAAAGTCAGAGCCTATGACGCTGATATAGGATACAACGGCTGGTTACTGTTTTCACTGCAGGAAGTTACTGACCACAGTCTCTTTGGTTTGGACCGCTATACAGGACAGATCAGAACACTTCGCTCATTTACAGAGACAGACGAGGCTGAGCATAAACTGGTCATACTGGTCAAAGACAATGGCAACGTTTCACTCTCAGCAACAGCTACTGTGATTGTCAAACTTGTGGAGCCCAAAGAGGCTTTTGCAGCTTCTGATGTGAAAAGTTCAGCAAAAGCAGATGATGATAATAATGTGACTTTTTACCTGATGATAACTTTGGGCTCAGTTTCAGCACTTTTTCTCATCAGTATCATCGTGCTGATTGCAATGCAGTGCTCAAAATCCACAGACTATACTTCTAAATATCTACAAGAGACTAATTATGATGGGACACTGTGTCACAGCATCCAGTACAGATCTGGAGACAAACGGTACATGTTAGTTGGACCCAGAATGAGTATAGGATCTACTATAGTCCCTGGCAGCCATGCGAATACACTAGTGCTTCCTGACAGGAGGAGAACATCTGAGGAGGTAAGACTTTTTTTGTGAACACCCAGCTTATTACTTCCAGCAGTGTTGTTTTTGTTTTTCATTTATTAATTAGTTCATTCACTGCATATATACTGTTTGCTTGGCATCACAACATACTTGAGTGAAGTAGGACACTTGACTGGCATTCTGGGGTTTTCAGTTGCATTTTTGATAATACTCTACGGGCTTTTAGTCATAGATGTAACTATAACAACAGTTGTTGACATAGCTTGATGCAGATCTACTTGTTGACTCATACCTGTTTTATTTCATAGTCTCCGCCTTTTTCACAAAACTGAAAAACCTATTGATTTCATTGTAACAGTCTGCAAAGCATCTTAACTGTTTCACAAACCAGAATGCGATTTGAGATTTCCCAGTTCTGTAATTTAACATAAACTCATACATATGGTTTGGCCGAATTAGAGCTCGGTTTTTTTTTTCACTGTCCATGGTTTTGATACTTTTTGCCCTCATGTGCTGATACCTGTTAACATGATGTAAGGGATACCAAAAGCCACAAATATCTTCATTGCCCCTTGCCCCATATTTTTTGTTTGTGAATATCAAACAACTAAAATTCTGAGGTTTTCGGAAAAATCAAACATTTTGGGAGGATTTGTTGCTTTCATCTTAACTAAGAGCAATTTCAGTTTTGGTGTTAAATTAGCTAAATGATTGTTCTCCTCCCCTGATGTATTTTTTTTCCATGACCTCAGAAACAGTTTGGATGGATATAAAGACTTGCCATACCTCTATGAAAATACTGTACAAATATAGGATTACTTGTAGTAAATACTTGCATCGCATGGTGTCAGTGTGTTAGGAAAATAACGGATTTGTCTTGTCGTCACTGCATTTTTGTCCCACCTCTCTATAGCACTCTCAGTCACATACTGAAAGAACCATTCTAGTTTTTTGCTGCCTATATAAATATTGTCCTTTCTTTTTTAACATTTTTGAATCAGAGCGATTATTGGCATACCCGGATGTGTTGGATTAATTTCTTTCGATAGGATTATTAATCCCCCAAGGATTCGATAAGGGTTTTGTATTGAATCATGGAACAAAGAGGATGCGATGCGATGAGGGCGAGAGGACGGTGGATCAGCTGCGTGGTTACGGTGCTTTTGTGGAGTCTAGCCTCAGCGCAATTAAGATATTCAATCTCTGAGGAAGTTAAGGAAGGAACTGTAGTTGGAAATATAGCAAAAGATCTGGGATTAGAAAAAAGCACGCTGAAAGACAGGAAGTATCGGATTGTGTCAAGTGCTATGGATTCGCTATTTTATGTAGACCAGAACGATGGCATCCTATATGTGAGCCGAAAGATTGACAGAGAAGAGGTATGCGAGCGGACCAGCACATGTTTAATAAATCTAAAAACCGTGCTAGAAAACCCACTGGAAGTGCACTATGTGGGAGTGGAGGTGCTGGATATAAATGATCATTCTCCCAGTTTCCCAGAGAAAGACAAAACGCTGGAGATTTCAGAGTCTGTGCTACCTGGAGTACGTATTCCACTACAACCCGCGCGAGATCCAGACGGCGGTCCTTTCACTATTCAGGAGTATAAACTCAGCTCCAATGAACACTTTCGTTTGGAAGTCAAAGACAAAGGAGAAGATGGTAAAATACCTGTATTAATTGTGCAAAAATCTTTAGATAGGGAAATTGCGCGAAGCCACTCATTAGTGCTGACCGCGGTGGATGGAGGGAAACCTCCGAAATTTGGAGAG